CACTCACAAACATCCACAGCCATATCCATTCTATGCAGACAGATAAAAGACACACTAGCCATTTTAAAGATACTAAGGATGGTTTGCAAGTTAACAACAACAACATACACACACACACACACACACACACACACACACACACCCTGCAATCAAAGACAACAAACATCTATGAAAACGAACTTGAAAGTGAACTGGACATGCAATGATACAGGAGGTAATGAAATAGTGCCAAAAAGCATTATGAGAGAATGGGCAGGCCTGGAATACAACGGTATCCAATTGAAATCAAATTTTACTTTGCTGCCTTTGTTCTATTGCCTGCCCCACATGCTGCAAGTGTCAAGAGTGGAGAAAAATGACGCAACACGAGGTTTCATCCTAAAATAGGGATGGCTGTTTCATTGGTCTTGTGATGTCAGTCTGCTCTGCCTAACGTCGCTTGGGCTTGGTTCACAAAATAACAGCAAAGACTTAACCCAACAAAGTTGCCTGAAAATTCCCGATCCCTTTCCTTTTAAAAAAAAACTGCATGCCATCAAAAAGGATGCTGCGAGTCTACGTTTCAAGGAGAAAACACAGTGAATAAGCAGCTGAAAAAACATTATCACCCACGTCTTCTCAGAGAAAGGCTGAATTTCCCTGAAAATGTCAGTTTGCTACACTAAGGTCAGAAGGAGCAGCAAATACCTTAATTTCAGCTCCATTTAAAAATTAGAGGCTGCAGTAAATCAGGAAGTGGAACCAGTCCTATCTTTGGGGGACGGGGGAAGACAAGGACGCTTTGGGTCCTTGTTTTTCAAACAGTTTCTACAAAGGAAAATCTATTTCTATAACAATGTGCGCATGTGTAATATGCATGCTCCTTTTTTGCAGTTGTTATTTTGGGAATGCAACAAACAAACAAAAAAAAGCCCACAGTACCAAAATGTATTTGCTTCAGCCACAGTCCCAAAGAAGCAGATGAGTTATAAGCATTTAAAATGCTTCCTGCACTTTCTCATGTTGGGGACACAATAGCAAGGAGCAGGCTGAGGCAGTGTCGGGAATCAGCTGTTAATGCGTTGCAGTCTGCCAGACATAATAGGAGGGGCATTCCAAGGTTAGAAGATGCAGGTATACAACCCACAAACGCTGAATTCTTGATCATGAGGTGTTCGAGTTAGAATCCTTGCCCTGCCTTCCATGTCTGCCATCCATCCGGAACAAGAGAGTCGATTGGGTTCCTTGTCGTCATAGAAATTAACCCGATGCCCAAACTCTACTGTAAACGGGAGATGGAGTAAGGGTTAATTACAATTGGCACTGACCTGTGAGCAAAGAGCATTCTTGTGGGTTTTCTTGTAAATAAGAGCTGGGCAGATAAAACAGATGAGACTTCCCATCGTTGCACCTGTTAGGCCCAAGATGGTCTCCACTAGCAGAGAAGAGGAAGAGGAAAATTATTAGAAGTTCCAGTTAACGGCATATGAATAAACTCTTCCACTGAAATGATTCAGGGGAAAACTAGAGGCAGGTGCTCAAAGTCACATAATATGAATTAGATCCCTTTGGCCACTCTTGGTCTAGACCAGTGATGGCGAACCTTTAGGGCGCAGAGTGCCCAAACCGGAAGGCGTGCACGACCATCTGGCGTGTCGGAAACCCAATGACCAGCTGGCCAGCATGCATGCGCACATCGGAAACACAAAGGCCAGCTGGCTGAGCCCACAGAGAGGGCTCTGCATGTCATCTCTGGCACGCATGCCATAGGTTCGCCATCACAGGTCTAGACTGTGAAGAATGAACTTTTTCTGTTTTCTGCTCTGGGCCTATTGGTGAAGCAGAGACTGTAATCTACTTTACTGACTGCAATAAAATAAGCACATCAGCACATAATTAGTTCATGATGTGATGAACTAACGTCTTTAGCTCCATACTTACCATAAATACCGTAGATTAGGATACTACTTCATCCTTAAGTATGCATTAAAATAGAGTGAAAAGCATACACTTGTCACAATACTTCTGTTTGATAAGAAAGAATGCTTAAGAGGATACTGGAACTATTTTATTTTTTAAAAAATATTTATATTTCCTATGTCTAAACCACCTCATTCCCTCAGATATGGATTTATGGGTACTCTAGTTCTAGTATGGATCCAGATATTCATTCTTGGGCAAATATAGGATAAGAATAAGCAAAGTGATGCCCTCAGATGGTTTCAAATTCCTTAAGTCCTTCCATACTGTCTAGGGCTTATGGGAACTGAAATTAAAATCATTTGGAAGGCGCAAAACAATTGGAAGACATCTTACTCTGGAGTTCTAACATAGCAGAATCTCGTGACTGAGAGCAAGCAAAAAAATATTTTTCCTAATTTTTTTCCTTTTTCCCCACATAGTGTTATACCTAAAATAATGCCATTAACGCAGTATACTGTAATATATTCACTTCTCTTTTTTGAACCAGTTCATTGATGAAAAATACCAATATCCCAGCCCCAGACTGCAGGTAATCCATGACTTACAATTCCAGTTAGCACCGTAAATTGTTACGGCCATCAGTTGAGGCACCCATATGACTGGACTTGATTTTTTTGACATTTTTGCAGTGGTCGTTAAGCAAATGCCACAGTCATAAGCATGAATCAGAATAAGTGTTTTTTGCCAATAACTGGCAAAAAACGATTGCAAATTACAGTCACATGATTATGGGATGCAACAATCAGAAAGCCTTCAAAATGCAGTCACATGACTGTGGGGATGGAGACACAATATTTTACAATGGTCGGGAGTGTTATATAGGCTGTAAAGCAGTTGTCTGTGCCTATCGTAATTTCAAGTGGTTGTTAAGCAACTGGATGTAAGTCAAGGACTACCTGTATTGTACAGAACTCCTAAAAAGATAATGTATCTTGTCTTTCTAAATAGGATAGCCATTAGCACCATGTACGTATTAAGATATTTACAAGCATCTCAGAAAGGAAATGTGTAACCAGGAATATTTTTATCGAGAGATACTAAAATTCAAGACAACATATATAAGATCATACATATTACTAGAAACAAGAAGCAAAAGGAAGTTTGAAAATAAACAGGAAATACCATACTTAATATATTACATGGTATAAGTATGATCATTCTGAATGTATTCACTGTAGGTGTAAGTCTGTACATTTAATGGAAGTTGATTGCAGACACATATTGGGCTTATTCTAATATATGCTCGTATACAGCAATCACATAAATACACATGAGCTTTATAAAACCAGGGATTAAAGAGTCCAAAAATTCCAAAATTTCCCTTACCATTTGGGATCATGATGCCACCAACCATGGTCCCAAACACAATTGCCAGAGTCAGAGCTTTAAATCGAAGAGGTGGCATATAACCTCCTGCAGCAAATGTCCCATCCTTTTGCTGTTTAAAAAGAAAGGATTAATAAAACAAGCATATGAACAGATCCCCCACACACCTGCAAATTCTCAGGAATCTTTTTGGGGACCCCATAAATTAGAATCTCTTCCCAATGCGTTCTCTTGACCAATCATTTTATTACTATTCGGAAATTATTCACAGAAGCTTTAGACTTAAAACTGTAAAATAATCCAACCAGCATGATTTAATGATGTCTGAAAAACCATCCAGTATGGAAGATAACAGTCCAATATAACTAATGAAAAGCATATTTCCCATTTGTCTTTTTCTTGTTAATTGTAACTCTCATAACTGTTTAAAATCGTCTTTAAAACTTTGCCTCACAATAGTGTAGAGCGAATATTAAGGCAATTATACTTCAAAACAATGTCAGCTATATCACAAATCTGTATAGTAGTGGACAAGATTCCTCATAGCTTCAGCAGGCCAAAGATTGTACTTGATGAGCTACATAGTGATAATGTCCATGGTAAAAATGGATTACCACACTGCATTTGAATGGCAGAAGAATCACTGACCAGAGACTGGGCTTCTTAGAAAAGTGATTACATTTGGAAGAACAAAATGGTAAGATAAAAGAAAGGAGATAATTACCACTTGCCTAGGGCGTGGTTGCAACAACTGAATGCTGGTCTGAAGTTGTTGTTTTTTGTTTTTTTTAATTTCTTGGGATGTTATGAAGGTTTAGACTAATTCTACTTCCTAACTAGCAGTCAATGGATACTGTCTTCACAGGCCTAAAACTCATGCACAGGAAGGCCTAATCAACCTAGGTTACAGAGTATCCTAAACATTACTTCCTGTTCTTTTTCCAGGCATTCGAACAAAGTTTTTGCTTAGTCTTCCTCACCCCAGCAAAATTGATTCTATGCAAGAGCAAATTCTGCTGTTTTCTTAACCTTTTAAAAAAATAATAATAAAGCAACCACGGGAAATCAGATGGAGACACCACCAAAGTGAAGGCAATCTCAGAATCTAAAATGTGGGGAAATCCACTTGTTCCTTTTGCACGAGATATAAAGAGTGAAGGAGAGGGCAGGGTGAGCACAAAATTCTTCAGTTTAGGATAAACTATGGAGAAAAGCCTGAAATCTATTTCATGCCAGTTTATACCATTTTACCTGCTGCTCAAAAAGAAGCGTATTCAAAGCCTGCCGGCATGGCAGAATCATCATCGGAAATCCAACTGCAACAGACATCATGAACCCCACACGTATCATCTCCGTCACTACGTTGGAAGGGAAGTTTATAAGTACATTGCCTTCAATGGCTTCAGTATAACTCACATAGCCAAAGAACCCAACCTGTTCAAACAAAAAACAGAAATTAGTTTTGGAGGATATAGATACATATATTTTTTGGGAAATAGATTTGGGCCTGTTCCCTAGTCCAAGAGAGAGCTATCTTTTTCTCTAATTGTTTAATAATTATATCCTTCATATTCCTTATCTCTGAATGGAACACCTATCACCCATTCAAACCTGTCTCTTAAGAAAACTGTCAGGAATACCACATTATCTTTTTTTTAAATATTTTTCATTGAACTTATTTATTAAAATCAAAACACAAATTTCTACTCATTACAGCATTTCCATATCGGTATCATTAATATCATTCATATTTACATAAGCTCTATTTCTATATTCTCTAATATAATCTATATTATATCATCACTTAGAATATAATAATATTTACAGATATATACAGAGTAGTATTTGTTGTAAATAATTATTAATTCTTATACAGTATTTTGCGTTTATCGTCCAGCCATTTATGCCAGCTACTCTACACTTTATAATATTCCAATTCATCTCTGTCCTTCAGTTCCATGATCAACCTATCCATCTCTGCACATTCACGTAGCTTTCTTATTATCATTACATCTGAAGGGACATTATTCTGTTTCCAATTTTGAGCGAATACAATTCTTGTTGCAGTTAGTATATTTAACATTATACATTGAGATTTTTTACCCATTTTTTCATCTAATATGCCCAATAAGAATAGTTCCGGTTTAAATTCGATCTTTTGTTCTGTAATTTGTTCCAGCCATTCCTTTGCTTTAAGCCAATACTCTCTGGCTTTAGGAACACCACATTATCTATAGTGGGTTTCCTTCTATATTTCCAAATTCCAGGAGATGTTTTACAGATGGAGTGGGCAATATTTATAGGAACAGATGTATGTATGTATGTAAATCATGGAACAGGTTTATGAGTAAAACATAAAGTTCCAAATATTATAGGAAGATGAGGGTCATTCTGAGCACTTGGCTATGACAATTTCCAGCAAAGCTTTCCCAAAGGTAAAAATGTTACAGTAACTTCCATTTTATTTTATTGCATCATCTTAAATGCATTTCATGACATCATCACACATTATCAGATGGAAATAGAGAAAACAAAGAATTCGTCAAGCTTTTTCCAATCTAGTACTATCACAGAAGGCAAGATAGCAGCCTGAACTCCAAAGTTCACCCTTTTAAAAAAACAGGTATGGTAATGGACCAGTAAAGAAATTCAATTTTTTTACTACTGGTTCTGTGGGTGTGGCTTGGTGGGCGTGGCAGGGGAAGGATACTGCAAAATCCCCATTCCCTCCCCACTCTGGGGCCAGCCAGAGGTGGCATTTGCCGGTTCTCTGAACTACTCAAAATTTCCGCTACCAGTTCTCCAGAACGTGTCAGAACCTGCTGGATTTCACCCCTGTGATGGACCCAGCAATCTGNTATGAAGTATTCCAGAAGGTTCACAAGTTCACCTATGGAACAGAAATGAATGAGGCAGATTTTCCATTCCAGGTTCAACACTGAAACACAATTAGACTTAACAATGAGTAGACTTAATAAACACAATGAGTAGACTTAACCATTGAGTCCAAAATTTCTGTTGCTAAGCAAGACAATTTTAAAACTGAGTTTTACCCCATTTTATGACCATTCTTGCCACAGTTGTTACATGAATCACTGCAGTTGTTAAGTAGATCATTAATTCATTAAGTGAATCTGACTTTCCCCAATGACTTTGCTTGTCGGAAACTAAGTAAAGTAATTGGGGGAAGCCAGATGATGATCACTTGACCCCAGGACAATGCAACTGTCATAAATACATGCCAATTGCCAAGCATCAAAAATTTGATGACATGACCAATGGGATGCTGCAGAGTCATAAATGTGGCATGTGGTGTGTGTTTGTGGGTGTGTGTATTTCAGTGCCACTGTAACTTTAAATGGTCACTAAATGAATGGTTTTAAATTGAGGACTACTTGTAATCTGTCAAGATAGACTCTTTGCAAAAAATATCTACTGTATTTTTCAGAGTATAAGACACACCTTCCCCCCCCAAAAAAAGGGTGAAAATCTGGGTGCGTCTTATACACTGAATATAGTGTTTTTGGCGTCGCGAAATCCTGCCCCGCGCATCCTGTTTTTGGCAAAAATGGATGTGCAGAGTTTGGGAGGCCTGCAAAGTGCTCCTGGGGGCTGGGGAGGGCAAAAACAAGCCCGTTCAGTAAAATGGGCCCATTTTTCGCACAAAACGAGGTGTGCAGAGGGTTTGGGAGGCCTGTAGAGTTCTCCCAGGGGCTGGAGAGTGCAAAAACAAGTGAAAACAGGCCCCTTTTCCATTAAAATGGGGTTTTTTTTTGCCCTCCCAAGCCTCCAGGGGCACTCTGCAGGCCTTCCAAACTCTCTGCATGCCCCTTTTTTGCAACAAACAAGCTTGTTTTTGCAAAAAAAAAGGCAATTTTCCGCTCATTTTTGCCTTCCCCAGCCCCAGGAGCACTCTACAGGCCTTTTAAGACCTCTGCACACCCAGTGTTTGCAAAAAACGGGCCCGTTTTTGTGAAAAATGGAGTCATTTTTTGCCTCCCCCCTCCCCCGATCACGTTTTTGCCCTCCACGGTCCCCAGGAGCACTTTGCAGGCCTCCCAAGCTCTCTGCATGCCCAGTTTTTCACAAAAAACGGGGCATGCAAAGGGTTTGGGAGGCCTGCAGAGTGCTCCTAGGGGCCAAGGAGGGCAAAAACATTTTTTTTTTAATTAACCTCTTCAAAATCTTGGTGCGTCTTATAGTCCGAAATATACAGTATGTCAACTTCAAGAATATGAGGAATTCTTAAGGAATCTCTTCAAAGATAAAAAATGTAGCAAATCATTTTTCCATCCTTAAAGGCAGAATGACAGCTGGGCCAAACTTCTTCACTCAATATATAAAAGCGGTAAAAAAAGAGAAACTTGATTCTGGTAATTATTTGGAAAAGGCTTGGATAAAAGCTGCAATATAACATGTATTAACCCTCTTGGAACATTATGACTCAGAAATGGTATCAACTGTGAAGTCAAGAGTGAAAAACAGATCCAATTAGAATGTTTTAGTCTAGATTTCTAAGACTCATCTTAATTCCATAAATATTCCAAGTGGGACCAGCTGCAAAATTATGTGTCATAAATCAGGGTTCCCCAATCTATGGGCCTAGTAGGCGATAGCCTATTCGCAACTGGGCTATGTGAGTGGCCAGCTGGTGCGCGTGCATGCTCAGCTCCACTTGTACAAGCGTTGAGGGCACTCGTGGAGCCACTCACGTGAGTGCCTGCCACTCCACTTGTGTGAGCAACAGGTGCATGCGCCTGCCCCTCCCACAAAACCATCCCCTCTTTCCTCCCCACCCCCACCCCGCTCCGGACCACCAACTTGGAAAGGTTGGTGAACTCTATGATAGAAATGTAGAAATTAGTAAACTAAACCTCAATGGAAGTTGCAAATACACATTTAGAAGAATATTTGGATTAAGGGAACAGAAGATATAAGTGTAGTGAAACTTTAATTTAGTTTTAGCTTAGTTTAATTTAATAACTTAGAGGCTGCCTCATCAAAACCATAAAAAAGCTAAAGTTGGAATGTTTTGGACATGTGATGCGACACCCAGAAAAATACGGCATACTTCACTTAATCCTACAAGGAAAGATTGAAGGCAAACAAGGTCCAGGCAGAAGAACAACATTACGGCTTCAAAATCTAAAGGACTGGTTTAGACAAAACTCAGCAGCACTTTTTCGTGCAGCTGTTGATAAAAATAGGATCGCCAACATCCGATGATGGATATGGCACAAGAAGAAGAAGAAGAGGCTGCCTTATAAAAACTCTGGGTTGGTTAGAACTTTAAAAAGAAAAAATACAATGGCAGCCACAAACAGAATTGTCCAGACAACAAAGTTGCCAAGTTTGAAGGCGTCTGACCTAATGTGACAAGATATTGTGCTTCTTGGCAGAATTTCCAATTCTGATGATCTGTGTACACCTATAAAGGTAATCCTCGACTTACAACAGTTCATTCAGGACCGTTCAAAGTTACAGCAGCACTTTTAAAAAATGACTTATGAGCATTTTTCACACTTATAACTGTTACAAAATCCCCATGGTCATGTCATCAAAATTCTTGTCAATGGACTCATATTTATAATGAGTGCAGTGTCCTGTGTGATCGCCATTTGCAACCTTCTGACAAGCAAAGTCAATGGGGAAGTCAGATCCATGTAACAACCATGTTACTAACTTAACAATTGCAGTGATTCATTTAACAACTATGGCAAGAAAGGCGATAAAACCCACTTAACAAATGTATCGCTTAAAATTATGGGCTCAATTGTGGTCGTATGTCAAGGATTACCTGTACTGGATAAATTGCTCAGTGTAGGAGATGTAGCCCCAAATGCATGTTGCTAAGTGAGACATTTATTTAGTTTTGCCTCCTTTTATGACTTTTCTTGCCACAGCTGTTAAGTGAATCAGTGCAGTTGCTAAGTTAGTAACACGGTTGTTAAGTGAATCTGGATTCCCCATTGACTTTGCTTGTCAGAAGGTGGCAAAGGGGGGATCCCATGACCCCGAGACACTGCAACCGTCCTGAATATGAACCAGTCGCCAAGCATCTGAATTTTGATCACCTGACCATAGGGATGCTACAACAGCCGTAAGTGTGAAAAATGGTAATAAGTCACCTTTTTCAGTGCTGTTGTAACTTTGAACAGTCACTAAACAGTTGTTAGTTGGCAGATTTCTCTCCCTCCCCACTCCACGCCTTTTTTCACTGTATGGAGAAAAATGGGCTCTTAATGCAAAATCTGAAGGATGTGTTTCCACCACAAGGGGGCAGGAGGGGTTTAGATGTTTGAGCAATGGCTGTGAAAAGGATTTGCAATTATTGAAATGCTGCTTGCTCTTGAGTAGACAATCTAAATCACTGTCCTTTGTTTTAAGAGTTGAGACAGCAGTCTTGTAAACCCTGCAAAGTGAGAGATGACTTTTTTTTAATACATATTCACAAAGCTTTGAAACTGCATGGCATCCTTCACACATTTCTAGGTTCTTGGCTATAAACTGTGTTTTTGTAGGTTCTTGTGCTCTAAATAGTTTAACCGGGGAAGATTGAATGCACATTTTCCCAACCAAATGAAATGTCTGTGTTCATGGAATTGTTCTAAGGCATCTTTCATGTAAAGATAGTGTTTTTGAAAAGATCAGTATATCATCCAGTAAACCACAACATATATTCCGCCGCACCCCCCTCCAAAAAAAAAAGCAGGAAATATTTAATGGAGAAGACTACCCTATAATTAGCCAAGCCAAAAGTATTACTGTGCATTCAAATTTGTCATGTCTGTTCCCGAATGGTGTTAAATATTTGTGTCTCTCTTTCATTCTTGATCAAAGGGTACGTGCCTCTCAAATCCAACTTCATGAAATAGCATGCCTTCTGAAGGCTGTTCAAGAGATATGAAATAAGAAGCAATGGGTAGAGATCGCTAATGGTTACACTGTTCAGGATCCTATAGGGATATAAAAATGTTGGCACAGATGTAAAGGACACCCCCCCCCCCAAAAAAAAAACCCTTTCTTCACATTGTTAGACAGAAATTTCTTTAAGGGGGATAACTCTTGAATAGATATATACTACCGCTTCGTCGGGATCTGAACTCCTGGCTTCAAGTTCATTGTACAGTCACATGCCTGATGAGGAGACTATACAGGGTTCCTCACCTAATAAAGTCCATTCCCCAAATGGAGAAATTGTTGTGGCCCACCAGCATAACTGGCAGCAGATTCGGACAGTGAGGAGGTTGGGGAGGAGCATGGGCCAGTCCTGGAGTCTGGGGAAGGCTCTGATGAGGGCTCTGTGTCAGAGGCAGAGAAGGGGCCAGAGCCGTCTGCCAGTTATCAGCTGCCTTCAGAGTCAGACATCAGTGAGGCAGANGGCATTTGCCGGTTCTCTGAACTACTCAAAATTTCCGCTACCAGTTCTCCAGAACGTGTCAGAACCTGCTGGATTTCACCCCTGTGATGGACCCAGCAATCTGAGCTGATCATGCCTGTCAGGATAAGCTATATATTTAACTGGGTTCTATAATGCAATGTGGACAGCAATTTTTTTTCTGGTTATTTTCTTATCAGAAAATAATGTCATTCATTTCACAATGTAGCACTGGGAGAGTTATAAGTAAAGCTTATTGTTCCTCCCCTGCCCCCAAGTATGAATAGCTCAATGGTACTGAGACATGGCTACAACTGCGAAATGTAATAACTGCCAAGCATTGCCCAGACAGGCACAAATTTAGAATGCAGCTCCTATAATCCCTTCAAATGTCATTGCTGAATGTATCAAGTGGGGAACTTATTAAACTTTAGATGGAATAATCACATACATTGCCTTTAAGACTTTTAATAATAACTCAAGTTACCCAGTTTTTGGGGTAAAACATTTGACACATCACTGAAAAATCAAACAGTGTGCACCTCTAGTTTAGAGGCCATACACTGTCAGTTTGGTGTAAGAGTTAAGGGGCTGGCCTAGAAACCAGGAGACTGTGAGTTCTAGTACCACCTTAGGGCGTGAAAGCCAGCTGGGTGATTTTGAGCCAGTCACTCACTCTGTGTCCAACCCACCTCAGAAGGTTGTTAGTTGTAGACAAAATTGGAGCAAAGGAATATTAATTATGTTCACTGCCTTGAGTTACGAAGGAAGGAGGGAGGGAAAGAAGGACGGAAGGGCTTTCCTTTTTGGGCTCTATCAGAGACAAGTACTTCAACTAAGAGCAAGATATAGATGCTTTGTTGCTGAAGCAGACCCTGTTGTGATCCCTTCCAGCATTTTTGTTTATACAGACAGTTCTGGCAGCATTTGCTAATCCATATTATCAAAATAATTGCTTAGTTAAGATGTAGGGAAATTTGAGCACCATATATGGACACTAATCACATGTATCATGTCCCAGCCCTGCTTAATGGAATTTAGGGTTTGCAAATTCTGAATTGGCAGAATAGTTTATAGTTCGTCACAGTTAATTCCTTAGGAACTCCCCACACACAAGACATTTTTAATGGTTGTTTTTTTTAATGTAGCAAAGGGGACAGGGCAGGAAAGAGTTCAAAAACAAATAAATAAAAAATTCTCACCATAACATAAAAGGCAGTGACCACCTTTAGCGAGGCAGCAAAAATGGAGCTCATGATTTTGACTGATGGCTCATCCAGACTGTCGTAAGTTGGAAAGACCTGGCTGCAAGACACAGTCAAACATTGGTTAGAACATTGTCAGGAAGAGAAACACTCAATCCAGCGTGCAGTTGCCACTATTAAGGTAATCCCAGCATCTCCCCACAAGACTCCTGTCACGCTAGAGTGGTTTAGATTGCCAACGCCAGGAGATCTCAAACATTCCCAAGTTTTAAAGTGTTGCACAAGTAACGCCCGCTCTCCTCCTCTGTGCCACTGCCACGTGTACAATGTAAATATTTCACATTTCGAAAAAAAGAAGGAAGGAAGGAAGGGGGGAGAAGTGACGTTGCAACTGGAATGACCACTTTTTGAGTCAAACAACAGTGGCAAAGCTCCAAACAGCACTCTGGGGATTATTGCTCTTGAAGCATCCTAGGTTGATAATTAAAGCAATACGGTGTTTACAGAATAAGAAGCAGGGAAGGAGCGAAAGCATCGGATTGTCAAAGAGAAAAGTTAAACAACCAAAACTAAACACTGTGCCTGTCATATTTCAGCGCTAATGCTTGAGCCCAAGCTCCCAGAAAACTGAAGGAGCCAATTACACGGGGTTTGGGCGCTTATATAAGCTTGTTCCCAACATCAGGTATATAATTTACTACAGCAGCTGGAGGTTGCATAGATATAATTCAGAGGCTGGCAAGGTTTGAATGGCCGGGGGAGGGGTGGGGGGGAGGCCGCAAAAAAAAAAAAAAAA